CTTGGCTATTTTTATTTTTATTTATTTTTATTATTTTATTATTTTTATTTATTCTTTTAATTCGTTACATTCTATGTGAAAAAAAAGTAAAAGTTGTAAAAAAGTTAATGATAAACAAAAGTATTTTAAAAAATGCCCTGATGTTTTTAACATGAATAAGGCAAAAAGCGATTGATTAGACAATATAATAATAAAATAATGTAATGCACTAACAAAAACACAAAATGATTCTTAAAAAGTACAAATTAATAAATATATGCCATGAATGATATAATGTTTTAACAGCATGGTTTCATTCAGACAAAAATATTTAATATTTGTATATATAAAAAAAATTAGTATGCAAACAAAATATTAAACGATTATATATTTTTTATCGATAAATATTAGAATATTTATCTATGACTTTAATCTTTAAAAAAAAAAATAAATTTGTTTAAGAAGAAATTGTATGTCAAATTCTAAACTAGATATATTTAAATCTGATATAATATATATGAATAAATTTTCTTATTTTTTCTTCTTTCCTTTTTTTAGATTTAATTTCATGTTTTTATTTCTTTTATTTCTTTATTCTCCCTAATCATTATCTCAACTTACTTTTCTGCATATACCTTTCTCCGAACAGAGTGTGCACTCGACTGTTGCATCCTTTTCTCTATCTGTCCTGTCCGCCTTTTTTCCCCACTACTCACATTGGTTATCTAGCGCGACGATGACATCCTGCACGGTATCGTTTGCCCGTGATTCGATCTCGACCGATTTGTTCGGGTAAACGGGGTCCGTTCGTCGGATCGAGTTTTTGTGGTTTTTCGATCGTCTTCAGCGGTCGATTGTGGTCAGAAGTGAGGGGAAGATTTCCTTTGAGGCAGTTTTGTTTCTGGGGAATTCAATTAGGGGGATAGCATATTGGGTTTTGACAGTGGTTTCAGGTTGATTATTGTTTGAAGTTATTGAATTTTTTTATAGAAGTTATGTAACAAAAGTGAGTGAAATAAAAATATATATTAAATTATTATATTATGTGAAAATTTATAATGAAAATTATTAAAATGAGATTTTTTCTTTTGATAATTTTTTTAAAATTCTTTTCTTAAATTCTAAATATTTATATATATATATATAAAATAATTCTCCCTAAATTTATTTTATAAAAAATTTTCTGAAATTAAAACTCTCACGAGTCCCCATATAAAATTCCAATGTTCCATATAAATATATATCAAAATCCACATAATCATCTTTTTATTTCCCTTTATTTCTCTTCCATCTAACCTTGACCGCGTTAGTTGATGAACTGTCGATATCTTTTCCCCATAAGAACCAGTCGAACCATATCTGTCCACCTATTCGCCAACCGCCTATTGATTGCAATATTGCGCGACTAACACGGTATTTAAGCCGACCAACAAAATCTTCCATTTAACCATCGGCTTAGCCTTTTCATAAACATCGATACTTCAAATGACTGGGATGATCCTCTCGTGGAGATCAAAGTCGTCGATGACGGCAATACACTTGTACTTATCTACGTCTTCATCATTTCGAATTTCGTGATTTTTCGTAACGCTAAAGAAGATAAATATGTAATTCCTTAGTATCGGTTTTTAACGACGATAGAGACCGGTGATCGAGGCGTTCTCTCGGAAAAAAGTGCTATAAACCGTGACTAAACAAACCCGAAATAGCTAGGTTACGTCGAGAAGTTTGGCCCGCAAACAAATAATAAACGTTGCAGCAAAGTCTGTTGCTCGGTTGTCGGTCTCGTTGGATGACTCATGTGATTTCCGCGCGGGAGATTGAAATTGTTGGCGAAAGATACGATGGTGATCAGAAAGAGAGTTTTGTGGTGACCGGTGTAGTATTTTGATTTACATTGTGGTTTCCTAGGGAATTTAAGGGAAATTAATATTGGCGGTGAATAGAAAGAAGTTTGCTGATTGATTGCAAAATAATTGATTAAAAAATTAAAAAGATTATTTGAAAGAGATGTTTAATGATTTTTAATAAATTAAAGGAAATTAATATCTGATAAATAAACAGACCTTTAGAACATCTTAATTAAATTAAATTAATGAATTTTAATTTTTGAATCAAAGAAAGATATGTATATTTTTTTTCATATCAGGATAAAATCCAAATTCATTTTATTTTTATAATATTATAATTTTGAAATAATTTTGAAAATAAAATTTTTAATTTTGATTCAAATTTGTCATTTGTTTCTTCCATTATTCGTGATATATTATAAGATAAAGGATTAATTATTATAAAATTGTACAAAAGTATCGAAAGAAAGAAGTTAACTTAAGAGATGAATTATCCAAAGAATTAATAGCATAATCGACCTATCTTTACCGTTCGCATCTATAATTTTGAATAGCCAGACGCTTCGGGAATAATCAAGTTCGTGGATAGATTAAAATCTTCTCAAACTCGCATTAAGGAAGCTTGAAGGTGCGTCCGCACGAGAATTGGTCACTCCCTGGGCGTGTGTCGTACGTGTGGAAGTTGACGCGACGCCTTGTTCCCTTAAACGTTGCCCACGGGGTTGCAATCATCGTTCCCTGCCCCGGCCAAGGCCACACCCTCGATTCTCATTAAGATTTACCGCCTAAACGACCGCTACCTATGCTCCAGAGGGGCCAGCTTCGAAAAATAATAGAAAATGACGCGGCCTCTTTTTATTTTTTTTACTTTTTTTTTTCTTTTTAAGATCACGATGTCGATTAGCGTGAAGTGGAGGAACATATCTAAAATCCTATCGACTTTTTCTCTTTTTCTTTTTTTCTTTTTTCTGAACTACATTTTCTGATCTTTCTTTTCAAAATTACATAAGATTGATACAAACAGATGGCATAATTAGAAAATTTCTTAACTTTAATATTTTTTAATATTAAAAGAGATGCAAAAAGATATATTACTTGATAATAATTTTATAATAAAAATTAGATTCTCTTTATACTTTTTATTTTATATTTAGTTTGATAACTAATATATTTCATATCATAATAATTTCTGAGTAATATGGAATTAATCAAAGTTTAAAATTAAAAATTTATTACTGATAATTTTTTTTTTTAATTCTTTACTTAAAATGTTATGAATTGACAAATAATTTTTCATATCATATAGATCTTTATTACCAAAGATCATTTTTATTTTTTATTTTTATGTAAAAATATGTATATTTTATATATACATATTTATTATTATTCTCTATCTACTATCTATATAAAATATTATTAGAATTTATAATATAATAAATATATAAAAGATAATATAAAGAAGAAAGATCAAAAGAGAAATATTTATATCAAATTTAACTCTTTGTAAAAATACAAAGGGTTAAAATCTCAATCCAGGACAATTTTTTATCAAAAATTCACAATACTTTAGTGAAAGCGCAATATAAGAACTATAAGAGGCGTGTATACATGGTATATATCTTGGTGAAAGCGTGTCAAATTTAATTCCTCGTAAAGCTCCATTAATTTACGGGTGGTCGTGGCCACTAGGAAATCAAACGTGTTCGAGCATCCGGTTCAATTATCAAATTTATTTAATGCCAGTCGCTCATAATAAGTACCCTCGTACAAAAACCTATACTTTGATGTGGATGCGCCAAAATATCTCTTCTCCATCCCTGTAAGAACAACCCTCGTAAGAAAAATAATTCATTAACTTTTCACCTGTCGTTAAATCCATTTCATGCTCTTTCTAAACTTGGCATTTTTGTTGATCAACAAAATATATTTTCTTATTAATTAATGAATAATTATTAATTATTAGTTATTAACATTTTAATCTTTTAACAGTGATTCTATAAATATGTGTATATAATAAAACATGATACATGAATCTTCCATAAATTATTGTGAATTTTTTTTTCACATTTTGATGATATTTTATTTTTAATTCATATTACACATATATAAGTTAGTATTATAATTTAATCTAACTTATTTCATATAAGTATAAATGTCAATGTATATTCTCATTCTATCTACAATGGATGTGCTAATTAATTGTAAGCTCGTGTCTTTTAAGATTTCCTATTTCACTTTATCGTACAAGCGATTTCTATTGTCGATTCTTGTTGTGGATGCTCTTAAACATGTATTGTCGAGCATGGGTTACCCTAGCTATTGCCCTTCGTCCTTTTCCCCTCTATAATTTTCACTCGAATACCTGGTCTAATTATAGGTGGTTCGTCACGGCGAGAGTTCCTTTGTGAGTAGCCTCGGCAGGAGCGAGGCTACTGAGGAGCTGTCCTCTCTATGCTTCATGAAAATATAGGGTTGGCAAGTAATTCTTGATGTAGCATAAGAGGGAAGAGAGATTCCATAGATCAAGAGCGATATAAGAACGATATCAAATTTAATATGAAATTTTTTTTTTAGATATTCAAAAATAAGTATCTATTGATCCAAGTAGAAGAGTGTATCTAATAAAATATTTGATTGTTAATAGTTTTTTTTTTATTTTATTGTGAAAAAAATTAAAAAAAAAAAATAAATTCCAATAATCATTCATCATTTTCTAAATTCCCAGTAAACTTTTAAAATTTATCTTCGAGAGAGAATATCAAAAATTCTGAAAAGAGGAACTATACAAGTTGTTAAAACGAAATAGATAAAAACATGAAAAGTAAAACTAAAGTTGATATACAAAAATGTCGAACAACGCTTATTAAATTATAATTTTGTATTAGATGAAACGTGAAATAGAAACGTTTGTCATCATTATATCTAATTTACTAAAATTAAAATTGCTCATAACATAACAAAAAATAAATTTTAATGAAAATTTTCACATACAAGTTTTCTTATAACTTTCAGAATTATTCTTTAAATCTTTTATTTTTTTATATCTATTATTTTATTTTCTAATATCCATTTTATATCTATAACAAAAAAAAAAGAAAAAAATAGATAAGATTTTATAAAAATGGTCAGATAATCTTTGATATAATAACGTTGCTTCCTGGATTGTTTCAGGTATTTGGGTGTGGAGCCGCGATTGAACAGTGGATTGAGCCCTGGAAATGGTGGTGATGGCCAAGCGCAGATCATTGGCGCGGGTGTGATTGGGCCAGCGAGCGCCGAAAAGAACTGCAAAAGCACGCACCTGACCGCGAAACAGCAGGCGATATGCTCCCGCTCTCCGCCAGTCCTGCAGGTACTTATTTATCGTTGGCGTCGTTACCTCCCTTTGGCGAGGGAGAGGGCCAACCTCTCTTTCTCGCTATTCGGATTAATAGGTGGGGAAGCACGCGGCTAATTTGACTCGTTGGTTGTCCAGAGGCCTGTTGGTCCAACGTTTATGACATTTCTTACGCATCTTTACACTTCTGTTGATTTTTAAACATAGATTAAATTGTTGAATGGTTATTTCGTAACATTCTTTTTTTTTTTTTTCTATTGAGAAAAATGTATTGTCTGTTGTAGAATTTTTGAATAATAGAATGTTTGAAATTGTTGTATTTTTAAACCGAGATAAATGGTAAGTTTTTATTCATTTTTATTTTTGTTTAAAAAATATTGCTGGAAAGAGATTATCGATTTTCGTATAAGAAACAAATAAAAAATTTTTGTATTTTTTTTTAATTTTATTTTCGAAAATTCAAAAATTTCGATATGTTGATTTTATTCCATTTTATTTTCTTAATTTATTTTATGCGATTTTTTGCAATATTGGTTTTTTTATAAATATCTTTGATTATATTAATTTAATGAATTTATTTTGCAAAAAAAAATAAATAAATAAATATAGTATAACTTCGAGATTCAATTTTGCCAATTATATGTTCGTACATATACATAAAAGAGAATTCATAAAATTTAGAAAATTTAAATAATATAATATTATATCAAAATACAAAATAATTGCTAAAATAAAATTTAAAATATAAAATAAATACAACAAAATAAATACAAGTGAATTTTTAAATTTTTTATACAAAAAATTAAATCTTAATTATCTTTTGTCTCTCCTTTATTTAAAATCTAGGAAATTTCTACAAATTTAAAATAAATTAAGAAATAAAATTGAAGAAAACCTACATGAGATATGTAAATTCTCAAGTCTTACAATAGATTATAAAAAATAAAAATCTTAATTCATTTAAAATTTAAACTGGAAAATTTCTATTACTTTAAAATATATTAGATTAAAATATATATATTATCAAAAATTAAAAAAAATATATACATATGGGATAAATTTTCAAGTCACACGACATTACAGAGGATTAAAAAATAATCATGGATCGTGAAGGGGAAATTAAACGTCCGTGTAAAATGACGCGAGTGCACTGGTGAATTCGCGCGATTCTAAAGAACTCCCGGAATGCAGCGGTCAAGTTGTAGCTTTCGTTTGCCGCGCCTGCAATATTTAATACTCGAGCTCTGGAACAGTCAGGGTCTTCAGTGAACCCTACACGACCTCCTTTCGAGACGGCTCGCAGTCGGGAAATGAAGTCGCGATTCTGTGATCTCGCATCGAGCTTTGGATCCACGTGAAACTTCATAAATTAGTTTAAAATGACAAAATATCTGTAATATATAAGGTAAATTATGTAGTTTACTATCCTAAGTGATATATATTCTAATTATTTCAATTACTTTATTAATATTTATTAGATTAATAAAATTTTTTTTACTAATACAATACAATTTCAAAAGATTCTTATAGTAATTTGATTTTCTTTGTTTTTCTGTTTTAAATTCTATGATATGATTTTTTTTTAATTGTTAATTAATAAATATCGAAATAAACTTATAATATTTAATTAATAAATAATAAATTAGTAAATAAAAAATTAAATTTAAATTAAATTTATAATATCAATTTTAATTACTAAATTTAATTTTTAAATTAATATAAATACAAATATTGTTTTTCATTTAATAAAAAAATAACTATACATAAAGAAAGAATTATATTTATATAAATAAGTTAAACATAATCTTTAGAATTTACTTTAAAATATATATATATATATATATATATATATATATAAAATTAAATGTTATTTAAAGTCATTAGAAATCATATCATCTTTGATAATAAAAAATTTTGATCTATTAATTAAGAAAAATAATTATAGTGATAATATTAGATTCCATCTTATATGTGTATTTCAGATTTATACTTGAAACTTTTTTTAAAAATACAGACTTTTTAATTTTTTAATATTATGAATTTTTTAAAAAATTGATACTTATTTGTAAAACATGTATATATAAAATAAATAAATTTTTCATAAAATAATTTAATTTTTTCAAAAAATTTATAAGCATACCTTGTGTGTTCATATGAAATATTAGATTTTTTAAAATTACAAGTGGTCTTTTAAAATTTTCGATTAAAGTCTCTTAATTATGCATTACTTTCAAGTAATACAATACGAAACATAATTATTTAAAAATTCCAACCAACATCGTCAAATCTTATTCCAATCGTTTTCTCCAATTTTCTCCTCGTATTATTTTATATTATATTTTATATTTAATTCTACATCCATTAAAGTCGATATTAAATTCACTAAAAGCAAGAAAAAAAATATTTTATTGGGAAAGGTATTTAACACAATCGTATTACCATAATCGATATTGATTTCAATTTGTTTTGAATATATCACAAAATTCATATTATAATTAAAAAAACAATAAAATTCAAAACAATATCTATTAAAATTAAGTTTCACATTTGAGATCGACTTTATAATGCGAAGAATAGGTTATGTCAACTTTGCATTAATTTTTCACAAATGAAAAAATGAATTTAATCATATCTTACTCTAAAATAATCTTTGAGCACAATGAAATTTATATATAGATATATTATATATTATATACTATAAGTTTGCCTTATGATTTATAGCATAATCTCATATTATCTATTTATTTACATATCATAGATCTATCATCTATTTGATCAGATAGCTTCGAAGTGACATTTCAACGCCATCTATGAAAAAAATTGAAATTAATATAGTGATAATTATTTATATTAAAAAGAAAAGAATATAATATATTTAAAAAAAATATAAGAAGATCGAAAAATTTATTCTTTTATATCATTATAATATATTTTTCATTGTTTTATGAATATCTTACATAGGATTCGATTTTCATGTTCCATCAATTTAATAAAATCTTAAAGTTATGTTTAAATTTATAATATTTAAAATTTAATTTAATTAAAAATTTATAAATAGTTAATTTCTAAACAAATTTATCGATATTTAATATATTAACTATGATATGCATCAATCATAGAAAATATCGATCATAAGAAACTAACATCAAGTACCAACATATAATATTATTGTAGTAGTACCAACTAAAAATTGAAAGAATCTTTTTATCGCAATTTAGTAATAGTATCCACCGCGCTTATGTGAACGGTGAAAACGAGACGACTAGTTGCCCAAAATCGCATTTACCTCTGCCTAATGCACAAATCTTGTCGTGGTGGGGAAGGGCAGGGGTCGGGATCGTCTAGAAGCCGGTGCCTAGGTAAACGTAAGGCTCGATATATCTCTTTGAATACCGCCGACCGTCGTCTTGCTTTTCCGAGTTCTGGTTACCGACAAAAGGGTTCCATATGAATATTCATAACGACACCGCGATGGACGTTTAATCCCTGCACGATTAACCAGATACACGTCGAATCATTCTCGATTTGTTTCCTATCGAAATGTCGACTATGGCTCTACGTTTTTTTGTTTCTTCTTTTTCCATTTTTAAAATCTTTACTGTTAAAGAATCGATGTTTTATTAACTTAGGTTACCAGTTTGTTTTGAAATATGAGAATGAAATTGTGATGTGCGAATGTGTAAAAATCTACTTTGTATAACAACTTTGTAACAATATGTATATATATATATATTGTTATTTTGTAAATTGTAATTAAAAGTAATTGAAGCTTGAGAAAAATTTAAAATTTTCATATTTATTACGAATTATGATTGACGTCATTACTATAATTTCGTAATTTGAAATTATAAATCGTTGAAATTTATAATTATATTTATAAAAGTAATACCAAACAATTTTTAAATAATCATTGACGAAATTTTATAATATAAAAACATTAATCTTACTTTAATTGTATTTACAAACAATCTGTTTAAATTCTTTTATAAAGAATAGAATAATTAGAATTTTAAAAAAATTATCTTTAATATCAACTTTTTAATATCAAAATTATTACTAGATAAAATATTACCAGAAACTCTCTAATTTAAATTTTATTCTAATTTTCCATGTATATAATTTTTATAAAAATCATAAATTATTCTAAAGTACATAAATACTCAATAAATCCAACAATAATTCTAAAAACAACTAATCAGTATTAATTACAGTGATCAAGATCGCATCAATTTCAACTACCTGCCATTATAACTACACAATTACACGCCAATAGATCTTCAATAGATCCTATTATACATCAACATGTTATCCATCGATATCGGTTTCGTTATGTCGTAACATTAGACTCAATATTAAACGAATCTAATCAGAAGCTAATATCAAACAAGTAGTTATTTGTACATCCGCTTCTTGCATGTCACTCAATCAATCGATAGAGAGTACATATATACATATATACATATAAGAACATTCACATTACTATTTTACTTTTCTATTCGCAGCTTTCATGATTTTTATTTACAGGCAGTAAGTGCTGGCGCGAGATTGGCGATTGAGGAATGTCAGCATCAATTCAGATCGGCAAGATGGAACTGCTCCATCACCCCGGAAAATCCGGATAATATTTTTGGCGGCGTGATGCTAGTCAGTAAGTAAAAGCTTAGTCTTGAAGAGAATAAAGCTTAGACACGATGGAAATGTTCTTGATAAGATGAAAGTTCAGAGTGCAAAGATGACATGAGAATGGATGTCTTAAATATCAATGATAGACTTAATATGGAAATTCAATTTGATAATAACATAGATTATTTTTAGTATTAATATTATATTAATCATCACATAAATACTATTCAAAATTCTAATTATAAAAAAAATATAATAATATGTAATAATATCTATGTTTATTTTTAATTTTTATTAATTTATTAAATTAAATTATTTATTTTTTATTAATTATCATAGTATAATTCCTATCATTATGCATTGTTATAATGAAAAATATTTATTAAGTATGTTATATATAAATATAATATATAAATATATTATAAACAAACTGTTCTGTTTCTATTACATTGTTGTCTCACTTCATTTAATAAAATCAAAACTTTTTTACATTAATTTTTGTATTTATTCCACAAAGATATTAATATTCTATATACACAATACAAATATTGATATACACATCATAAGTTATAAACATACATATATATATAGGATGTCAACATTGATACATAAACAAATTAACAATTATTTATTAATTATCCAGGTGTATTATCCTTTAGATAGAATGATCAACCTTGGAAATTGAAGCAATTAAGATATCTATCTTTTTTATCTAGAAATAATTTTATCTCTATAATTATAAATTATAATAATTAGAATCTTTGACGACTTATTTCTTTTTTTATCAGAATGAAATTACTTAGAATAAGAAATGGAAAAAATTGCATTGTAACAAAGAAATTCCGATGCATCTTTGCAGACAGTCGCGAAGCAGCATTTGTATATGCAATATCAGCGGCAGGGGTTGCTTATAGCGTCACCAGAGCTTGTTCCAGGGGCGAACTCACCGATTGCTCGTGCGACAACCGGGTCAGAACACGCCATCCGAATAATTGGCAATGGGGCGGTTGTAGCGAGGTAATTTCCCCTATTTGTATTCTCTTTTCTTTTAAAAGATAACGATAAATATAAATGCAATTCACTTTAATTTTTAATTCTCAAACTTATGTCTTTTTATTTTTTAGAATCTTAAGTAGTTTCACTGGTATGATATTCTTAGGCAAATCCAATATTTATATGATAGATGAAAAGTTAGTTTTCAATAAAAGTTTTCAATAAAATGAAATTCTAAAGAAGATTATTTTTATTTTTTAGAGATAGAAAAATATTTATTTTTATTTTTTTGAATTATTATATATTTGCAGTTTGTTTATAACAAATAATTAAGTGTTATTTAAACAATTAAATGTTTCTTTTTTTTAATGATTCAATATGTAAAAACATAGAAAAAATTCAATAAGAAATTATATTATTTATGCCATTTTGTTTTTTTTTAGTTAATTAGATTATTAGTTTGAATATATATGTGCAAATTTAAAATTTTATATACAATTACAGAAAACTGAAGTAAAGATCTATTTTGCCTTTTAAATATCGTCCCATTTATACCAGAAGTACATTTGCAATTCGATAACTTATAGAATTTTTTACTTTAAACATGAAATATAAGAAAATGATAATTGAGAGTATTTATTTCATAATTTATTTTTTATAAAACATTTTATTTAAAAATTTACAAAATACATATAATAATGTAAAAAATATCCAATGCAATATTATAATATTTAAAGCAAAACAGATTTTTATTTTAATTATATTTCTATAATATAATTTATAAAATTTTAAATTTGCATAAACATATACTTATACTTTAAACTTTTACTATAAACATATACTTATTCTTTAAACTTTTACTATAAACATATACTTATACTTTAATAATAATAAAATTAATCAATTTCCTACGTATTTAAATAATTTTCAAACTTGATTTATCTAAAAAATCAACAATTAAGTTTCAAATGAAAAGATTTTTTTCTTTTCCTGATAACTTTTCATAATGATTCATTTTCTATTCGGTTGTACTATCTATATACCATAATATATATACATCTGTATATATATCATATATATATGTATAATATAATATAATATAATATATATAATATATATATATATATGTAAAAAAAATTACAAATATATGAAAATACTTTTACACTTTAATTTCACGGCTCGAAAAGCCAATTTAATTAATTTCTATTCGCTTTAACGAATTCGTTCTTACGCAACGTTCGTTAATTAAGCGAGGGAACTCATGCCAGCTGGTGAAATTACCCATTGGTTAGTGGCTAGCTTAAGGCGAAGTTTTCAATTTCATGAAAACATGAAACTTGTTGTTGGTTTAATTTTCTTCTTATTATTTTTTGATTCTTATTATTATTGATTGTAAATCAATCGATAGAGCTTAATAAAATTCCATTCTGAAATAAACGACAATTAAAATTTGCCACTGTTTCAGGATTGAGAAGAACAGGCACGAAATATATACGTAATAATATTTTTTTCTTCATATTCTTAGTAATGTGGTTTAAAGAACAAGCTCCTCATCAGAAAACGATGATACAGAAAACGAATTGTTGGCTTTTTTTTATATTAAAATCAACTGTCAACTTCTGTTAACTTCTTACAAGATTATTAGATTAATCTCTTTTTGAACGGATTCTGAAAAATACAATGTTTGTTAAAAATGTTAATAATGTTGTAAAATTGAATAATTTTATTAAATATTCTAATCATTTTTTTTTAAATAAATTTCATTGGATTAAATTATGATAAGTTAAATTAAATATTTTAACTTATCATAACATTAATTATAAAAATTAATTATAAAAATAAAAAATCAAAAATATGTTATATCATTTAAAAAAATAGAATGATACTTTAATTTCTTATTGAAAAAAAAAATTTTTTAAATTTAATTTTTTAAATATTGAAAAATTCTAATCAGTATTCAAAATTCAATAATTTTTGTTGGAAATTTTTTTATCAGATTGTTTAAAACATACAAAAAATGTATAAAATATATAAAATATTACCATTATACAGATCTATTCATTGTATACTGTATACTTGAAAAAATATTTTATAATTTTTTGAAGGAATTTGAAAAATGCTGTTTTATTCTGAAATACATTAATTTTGAATCAGTATTATTGATAATTTATGAATAGGAAACAGGAATAATATATATAGAGTGGATCTATCTTATCTAAAGTATTTTCATCATTAATAGGTCGATCAAAATAAATTTTATCCTGAATAAATTACCATAAATTATATATTATGTATAATTATGTATTATATTTTTATGTATATTATATTTTTTCAGAGATTTTAAGATTACTATCTTTTTTTTTATGTTTGAGAAATAATCCTTTTAAAAAATTTTCCATGTATGACAAATTGAAAAATTATTATTTTATAAAAGATATGTATTATAAAGATATAAATTTAAAACAAAGGAATTTAAATTAGTTTATTGTGTAAATTTTTACTATAAAAAAATAAAAAAATATTAGTCAAGAAATTATACATCTTTAAAAAATATAAAATATAGATAACTGAACTTTTTTTAAAAACTTTTTTAAAAACTCACACTTTTTTAATAAAAAAAAATATTTTAAAGCTAATTATTTTTGTATATCATACATCAATATATTTTTTGAAATATTATTTGAGTTTGAAATAACTTTTGATAAAATAAAATATAAAATAAAATAATATATAACAATATAAAAAAACGCATATAAAATAATAAAAAACAAAAATATGAAATAAAACAAAAACAAAATTTTCATTTTTCAATCAATATTTGATATATTAATTAAAAGAACTTAAAAATTGTGAATAAAATAATATAGATAAAATTATAATTATAAAAATCTAAAATAGGAAAAATAAAAAAAAATGAAAATACAAAATAAAACAAAAAATAATACTTCACTCTTGTTGACCCTTCAGAAGAGAGGCCTCCCTTGTAAGTACACGGGGGAAGCACTGCCCCGCACGGGCATCCCCAATTTGTCGTCTCGATCTCTCCACGGTCAGTCGACGTAAACCTTAACCCTGGAACGAAGACAAAGCTCGTCCTGTAAACGGATGCATTTCATGCGTACGGCTGACCCCTTGTAGACATTGCTAGCTTACAAGGGGATTAAGGGGGCTAAGCTTGTTAAGTTGCAACAACCCGCCACCTCCTGTCCCCGCACACAGCCCGACATATCGGTCACGTAACTTGCATGTGAGTGATGCACACATAAATACCTACAATGAGAAAGAAGAGTGAGAGAATGAAAGATAGATATAATAATGGTAGATAGAGAGGGATGAGAAGGTGGGAGAAGTAAAGGGTAATTGGAGACAAAACTCGAGAACAAATCGTGAATGATAAAAGAAATTGATGAGAGAGTGATGTAGAAAAAGATTGAAAAAGAAAATAAATAAGGAAAATAAAAGGCAGTAGGAAAGTTTTTAAGGATTATAAGGATAAAAGACGAATGATATGAAATATCAAAGAGAAGAATAAAAGATAATGAAAACAAGAAAAATTTAAAGAATCATATAATAGTATTAATAAGAAAAAGATATTTGAGATATGAACAAAATAGAAAAAATGAAAAGAAAAAAGTTGAAAATATGTATAAAGCAGATCAATGAAGGAATATCAAATAAAAATTAACGAAATATTGAAAGAAAAAAACAATTATTAATAAAATTAAAAGTTAGACTTAAATTAGTAAAAAGAAAAAATTCCCTATTCTAAAAGATATATACATAAAAAATAATAAAAAATTCGCAAACAAAAACAAGATAAAAGAACAAAAAAATAGATAAAATAGAAAAAAGAATAAAGAAAACAAAAAAATAAAAATAAAAAAATAGCAAAAAAATTAGGCACAAGAAAATAAGCAAGAAACAAAATAGAAAAGAAGAGAAAAACAAAGACTGGAAAGCGTGAGAAAAGACAACAGAAAAAAGACTAGCGCGCAGCGAGAAAAAAAGGCGGGCTAGACTGATGATCAGAAACAAAAAAGAAGAAAGAAAAGACGGAAGGTGGAGACACGTGCTCTCGAGCAACTCACGTGGCAGGAAGAGGAGCGAAAAGTGTCGGAAAAGTGGCGCTGCTTTTACCTTCGGGATTACCTACTCATCTACTTGTGCGGCCTCTAGCCTTTAATCAAGTTCCGGACATGGATTCTGTAACGAGTCGACGCGGCATCATATCCCATGGGATATTTCGTCTACCAATCCAACTCATTGACAGATTTTCTAGATAATGATGTTTGCCGACCTTGTGTCTCGAACTTGGCTAAAAAATATTGTAGCTACCTCTCGTCGATAAATCGTCGTTAGATGGCGCTTTCTGTTGGAACTTTTACCTTCTAAAATTTTAATCGAAAAGAAAAAAGAAGTGTAATGTTTGTGATTTCATTTGAATCGTACAAAAAAAAAGATTATTAAAGCAGGTAATCATGATTTGTTATATTAATAAGTTTACAAAGATTATTTGATTCAATTTTTAATATTTTGAATTTAGGAAAAGAATATTCATGTATTATTCTTGGTGGGGTTATCTTATATACGCGATGAATGTAATAAAAAGATGTATTAATAGTTTTAGTAAAAAGATATACATAAATTTTTATATTAAACTATAATCATATTTATTATGATAGCAATTTGTTCAATTTATCATATAAAATGGAATTATATATCATAGAATTATTTTTCTATGACGAAAAATCCTCTTTTCCCGCCTAAACTAATAAGCGAATAATAAATTTAAATGTTTTTATTTAATCTCTTTAATAAAGATATTGATTATTAATAAGATTCTTTATGCTACTTAATAAAAGTTTGAAAAATTAAATAATTAATTTTTAAAAATAGTAAATGAATTTTAATTTATTGTTAATCTATCACTATTTTATCATCTTACTATATAATATACACTTATTACATAATACAATAATAATGAGTAATTTTTCAATAGATTATGAAATACAATTTTTGCAAATATATTTAAAAATAATTTTTTCGACATTTCTATAAAAGATATTGGGCCATGAAGATCAAAAAGTTATCAGTTTAGAAAAAAATTGAATGTTAAATATCTATTAAATTAATAATAATGCACAACTTTAACATATTTCAAATTTATTAAATTTGATTATGAGGAAATAATAAATATTTTAAAAGGATTATCTTGTAATTTTTAATAAATTATAATAATAAAAATTCAAAATCAAATTTTATTTTTAAAAACAAGAGAAACAATATTATATTTAATTGTATTATCACTTTTATATTATCACTTTCTATCATCACGGATTTTTATTTAAAATATTATCAGAAAATAGTCATTATTTATATGCTAAAAATATCATATTTTTGAAAACATTATATAATAGTTTATAGTATTACAGATTTAATTTATAATGAAAAAATTAAATTTTCATTTAAAAATATTTTTTCTTGTTCAGGATATCCACTTTGGAGAGAAGTTCTCGCGAGAATGGTCAGACAGTGGCGAAGAACCTGTAAAGGAGGGTGTGCTGCATGGACCGAAAGGGCTGGCTGGCCAGCTAATGAGGAAACACGATAGTGAAGCTGGCAGGCGCGCAGTCCGCTCAAGAATGCAACGCGTATGCAAGTGTCACGGTAAGTCATTAACGCGTTCACAGATAAAACCCTCTATCTACGCTCTTATTTTTCGTTCCTCACGCTTTAACGACTTAGAATTTCACCAATTCCTTGTTTTCCCTTTCCTAGCTTGACTGTTGGCTCATTGCATTCGTGTATACATGGATCCATGGGTAGAAGAATCTCTCTCGAGACTTGTTTCAGCATCCAAATATACCATGAAAAGATGAAATGTGATGTTCGTTTTATTAGGCTTGTAGAACTTATAGTGTATTTCCTTGCTTATTTTTTCCGAAGATATCTTGTTATTTGAATTGGTATGAAAAGATTACATTGGTTTAAAAAATATAGAAATATCAGAAATGTAAGAAATATCATATCATGACATAGAATAATATAAAATATTTGTTTAAATATTATGAAACTGTAACGAGATAAATAATATGTTCTTAAATTTACAAAAATGAATGGAAATGTTTAGATTAAATTAAAAAATGTTATTAAATCTTATTTTAAAATATAAAACGGATTTGGATCCTTTTACTATTATTTTCAATAACATTATTTTGATAAAAATATATTTTAATTCTTACAAATAATCTTATATATTATATATTATAAAACTTTGTATATTTTATTTTATCTTCCATCCTGTTATATTATTAAAAGTCATAAGACAAAAGAAAATTCTAAGTACCTAGATTATATCATTCTTTTTATATTACATTATTTTTATAATTATTTTCTTTTGCTTTTCTAAACTTTATTGTTTTATTATCCAAGGAATGTCTGGCTCATGCAGCGTACGTGTTTGTTGGAGAAAATTACCAGCATTTAGGGTAGCTGGAGCAGCATTAGCCGCATTACATGAAGGCGCAGCTTTGGTACGACTGGCACAACGTGGCGGAAGAAGACCAGCGAGATTGAGGCCTGCCCGTCCAGATCTCAAACGACCTAATAAAACGGATCTAGTATATCTAGAAGATAGTCCTGACTATTGCGAAAAAAATATAACGTGAGAAAATCTTATTTTAGACATCTTTTATTGTTGTTCAAATTATAGAGTTCTATTATTTTGATGAAGTTTCTTTATATATAAAATTAGCTACTAAAGAAATTTTTGATAACTTTTAAAAATGGCTATTTATAATTATTAATTAATTATTGTGATTAATTTAATTATTGTTTAATGAATGTAAATATTCAGAGATAAATTTCATTAAAGTGTTCATTTAGATTATTATTTTATCTCATTTAATTTCGTTTTTGCATTATATTTTTTGTTGCAATTATGGAAGATATTAATATAGAAAATTTAAATATGGAAAACTACTAATTTATATCTAATTTTTATATGCCCATTCAATAAAAAAAGTTATTTTAGATAACAAATTAAAATTACAATTCTCTGATTTAATAAATTTCTCCAATAAACATTTGATTTTTTTTGTAACACATTTTTATATCTAATTCTAGGCTCGGTATTCCCGGGACAAGAGGAAGGATATGCAATCGAACATCTCTTGGATTGGATGGATGTCGATTATTATGCTGCGGTCGAGGTTACCAAACGAGAGTCCGAGATGTGACAGAAAAATGCAACTGTCGATTTGTCTGGTGTTGTCACGTGAAGTGTGAGCTGTGTCGACACAAACGAGAGGAGCACGTGTGCAATTAGGCGGTGAAGAAAAAAAAAAAGAAAAAGAAAAAAAGAGCGATAAAATTGCATTCCGATCGGCCTACCTACCGAAAGGTGCTTAACGACCCCGCGTCGAGGTAACATGTATGATCCCTCGATACACGATGGTCCATTCTCATAGTCGCGATGGAATCAAGGTAGAGATTGTACCATCTCTGTATTTTTCTTTTTCTAATTTTTTTTTTTTTTGTATTTTGTATTTTCTCCGTTTAAGTTAACTTATCGAAGCTAATCTGGCTTCTGATATGGAAATTAGTTGCGAGACGAGTAGAGAAAACCGCCGCGAGAGGCTACGAAGTGTGACACGTTTTCGTTATTGTGCATTTTGTACCTGACAGTCAGAGTGTCGTAAGTCCACCGCGTTTCGGCAATCATCGATTTTGAGTGCGGACGGTTAAAACAATATATTTATATGTGTTTTGCAATTTACGGAACAATATGATTGATCACCTTTAATATCTCTTTTTAAAAAAAAGTATCAGAGGAAAAAGTATCTTTTTTTATTTACAATATTTCATTTTATAGAATATACATTATATTACATTGAATTTATAAACTTTTTACTCAGTTATTTGTGAAAATAATAAAATATAAAAAAAATAAATATAAAAAATATAAAAAATTTAATAATCTTAAGAATAATTTTATGAAATCATAAATAATCTTAAATGTATTTTATAATACATTTTATTTAACTTTAAATAATCTTAAAAGAATTGTTAATTTTGATAATGACAAATTTAAAACTAATGATTTTTCTCTATAATGCATTGTTAATCACATTTGATAGAGATATTTAAGGTAATAATAAAAAATGGAATATCCTATAGAATGAAATATCAATTAAAAAATTTTTGTCAGAAAACTGAAATCATCTCAGTATTAGCGTTGCGACAGTGAGTACAAGATATTTGTAAAGATGCATTAACGTGGCTTATTATACTAGTCTGGCTCTCGGGTGCACCATTATTTATGCAAATATTAACATATTGAGAATAAAATATGGAAATCATTTCAATTTCAAAGAAGATCTAAAAATGTTATGGGAATTGGCTTCGACATATATTTCATTCAGGCAAACATGTAAAATAAGCATAAGCTAAAATAAGAAAAAAAAAAACAAAAAACAAAATTTTTTTGAAGTTTCATTTTTGAAAAAATCAAATTTGAAAATTTTTTGAAAACAAATGACATTGATTAATTCCTGAAATGAATGAATTATCAATAGAAAATTATTCTACATATAAAAGAAAACAAAAAATAAAGAATTAATTTTATTTATTTCGTTTAATTTTTAGAAAAAAATAAATTTTAGAATTAATTTGATTTTTTTTTTTTCTTATTTTTTCATAAAGAATACTCTATGTCTGCTTATACATATCTGCTTATTCAGCTGGATCCTGTATAAGGACATATATTAAATATATAATAGTATTCCTATTGTACTACAATTTACATAATCAAAATTAAATCTTTCGGATAAAAAAAATCTTTTTTCAATCAATTTTTTATTTGAAAATAACTAAAAATATTTGCGACATGCTGATCTCATGCTGAAACTCAATATGTTGATAATTTACAGTTTTTATTGACATGAGAGAGAGAAAGAGAGAGAATGAGAGTGAAAGAATGATGACAGTATGAAGCATGCATGTGTTTACGCGTGAATAAGGATAGTGTTGAATAAGCGAGCCTCTGAGCACGAAAATGAAATAGAGTAATATAGACAAGATATGAGGCCATATTCAACAACCATTTTTCTTTTTCTATTTTTTTTTTTTTTACTTCCTTTCTTTATATTTTTTCTTTTCTTTTATTTTTTTGTTTGTGCTCATACATTTGCGTATGCCATGAGAGTCTTATTTATATTCGAAGTAAAGACCTCCACAATGTGTAGGTATCTCATTGTATACCAATGCTCTCTAGTGTGTAGAACCACCTTGTCTTCACTTAAATATGAAATGAACTATAATGAGCGGTAAAAATATACTTATACTTTTTGCAGATGTAAAAAAATGCTATAAATAGTTAAGCTGAAATTTTTAAAATATTGTTCTGGTTATGACAAATTTAATAATATTAATTGTGTTATACAATTAACAATAAAATGCATAATATTGTAGATATTTATAATAACATAAAATTTGCTAAAATGTTCTAAAATTAAAAATTTTAAAACATAACTTTTAATATTCAATATAAAATTTGACAATTTTTGATTTTGATATATCAGTATCATGTTGTAGAATTTAAAGTAATAATCAATTTCATGTTTTAATAAAAACAAATTTAAAAGATGAAAAGATACTATTTAATAATAAGAAATAATTTAATAAGAAGTTTATTTTATAACGATCTGCAGTTTATTACATTTATTCAAATTATATAACTTGGAATCATATTTCAAAAGTTTCAGCATAACTTATGTGATCTGTGCACATTATGCTTCATATTTGCAAGCGTCTAAATACTTTCTTAACTCAATATACACAATTTGCGATATGTCAACTGTGTACAATACGAGTTATAAGAAATGAGGTGGACTACAAAAGTGAGATCGGAGAGAAATGTAGCAAGAAAAAAATAGGCCGCTTTAGTGATACATATCCGCTTTTGACAGTTCGCCTCGAGTCGCTCGACTCGGAAACAATTGATTGTACATACTATCTTCTTACTGTTTTGTAGATTTTACAATCGTAACTGCCGCACTGTATATAGATAAGCATATATACACAAGAGCATACGTATAATTAGTGGAAGATTATAAATTAAAACAACAAAATGTTAAAAATTAAGTTGACAACAAATGTAAGCGAAATTCTATAATTTCTTATTTTTTCCAATATATTTATCTCTTAAAATATGTAAACTTTAATATCTGATAAAATTTTATAATATTATTATTATTATTGCTTTCGCTAATTGTATGTATACGTATATATATATTTATACAACATTTTTGAAAATTTGATTCTAGAGATCAAACAAACACAAAAATTTTGATTGAGACTTATTTATTAAATTATAAAGGATTTGAATTTGCGTTAGAAATGGGATGGAGCTAGAATGAGATAGATCTATTCTCATATTGTCATCTCATTCTAACTTTGTCTTGTTTCATCTAATACAAACTTTAATTATTTATAACTGAATAAATAAATCAATCAATATTTTTATATCAGTGTCCTTGTTTGTATTCTACAAATGACTCTTTAAAGGTGTTCCATGAATACATTAACCTGTATTTAAAACACCTGTATTTAAACATGTTAATTAGGTTCGCTGAAAATTACATTAAATAGGAGAAGAAGATAAAACTGGAATTTTTAAAAAGAGTAATTACTCTTATGTTTTCCATGATCTTAATCATTTTTTTCTTTTTTTTTTTTATTCTTTATTTTATTTCTTTATTTTTTATTCATCATCAATATTCATTGATATTTTTTATTATATTTTTTAGGAAATAACATTTTATTAATATAATTATTTCCATTAATATCTCATTGCGCGAAGTGGAAGATGCCTTTTCGTCGCATTTCAGCTACGCTGATCTAGATAGATCACAGTCTAGTCAATTACGAAGTCCGAATTGATCATGTATCACGATCTCTCAATTATGATTGCTCGATAATTTTTCGCTTTTACAAGGCAATTCTTTTTTTTTTTATTCTCTTCTGTTATTTTTTTATATCAAGAAAATGTTTTTTATACCGAAGAATATATATATATACATATTATATATACATATATACAGATTTTTATTTCATATTTTTCTTTTTTACAAATTATTGATTTATTATGAATTTTTTTTGGAACAAAAATCAGTTTATTCTATATTTTATATATAGTATATATAGTACTTATGTAACAATTATTTTCTTTTTTTTATTAATTGAGATAATGCAAAATCTAATATGAATTGACGACAACGACATGCAAATATACAAAATGTTTCATTTAAATTAAATCTTCACAATATGATTTCATTAAAATATTTAAATATTTAAAAAATTTTATAATTTTATATTTTAAATAAAATAATCAATTTATAAAATTTCTTGTTTTTTGATTTATTTTTAAAGAATTATATAATATAATATCGATTATACCGAAATAATTGGTAGACAAATCCATTCGGATAAGCAATTTTCAAATATGAGTATTTATTAATATAATATATACATTACAAAAAATTAATCGTTTTTAAATATTCAAGAAATATAAACATTGTTATATATGCTGATATATAGCAAAAATATAACAAATATATATACATGTGACTCATTTTAGATAATCATATTAGATAATCAATAGAATAGAAGATAGATATAGAAGATAATGATTTATTTGAGTAATTGAAATTCGGATAATCGACATTGTATTGTATATAAATTATTATATAAACATATATTTATATACACATATATGTATTCTTTTTTCATTATAAAAAACATGATGAAAAAACGTTTGATATTAATCGATCTGATTAAAGTCTAAAAAAATAAATTTGAAAACATAACTTTAGTGTTGGATTTTATAGGATGAAACAATTTGTATATTCGTCACATAAATAAATTATTCTTTGTTCAAATAGCATAAATAAAATAATTGATTTAATTAGAGGAACATGGCCTTAAAAGAGAGAGCGAGCGAGCGAGCGAGAAAGAGAGGAAGAGAGAAAATCGTATGAATTATAGGTACCGATTCGTCCGTACTTTTATAAGGATTTAAGCGATAAACGCACACGAGCGAGCACTCGTGCAACGAGACAACATACAGAGCGCAGTATTGATAAATTGTAATTTATTTTTCTCTCCTCGTCAATGATAACATGCTACTATCGTACTTTCTAGCTTTTTCAATCATTCTTATCGATCAAGTATTCTCATAGTTACATCTCTTCATTAGCAATGAGATAAACCCTAGCTCGTACCATTTGTATTTGTATGTACCTGTACTCTACGTGCATTTATATAAATACATATGTGAAAAATGATCGTAATTAATCTTTTCATCAATTCCATTTTTTTTTTTCATTTCCGATTCAGTTACATTTTCATCGTGTATATCGTCCTTTTGATCTTTGCACTTTTTTAGATATAATTAAATATCTTGTTAACATACAACCAATTGTAGAAAATGCTCCTACTATAACTCCTACGAAAATGCCAAGAAAAAATTGAAGATCCTCATTCATTGTTTTTACTGAATTGGCTGGCATTAAAAAGTACAAATTCCAATCCTTAGTTCTGGCCATATAACGCAACCAATAGATTAACCTATCTACAGCAGGATTTATTCTATCACGAATAGCTAAAGAAACTTTTCTAGCATTTTCACGGTAATCCATTGTTTCATGAATATGATTCACGATATTGGCTATTTCTTCGCCGGATAAAGTATGAATCTCTTCAACGGAACGTGCAAAACCTAATTGGATCGCTCGTGCAGTATTTTTAACTTCATAGGAGTTTCTAGGAAAACATATTACTGGACTTCCATGAAATGCAGCTTCCAAAAGTTCTGTATCTGCACAATGACTTAATACTACTCTTGTTCGTCCATAACCTGAAATAATGTGATAGAAAGTATTAAAAAAAGAATTTTTCATTTAAAAAAGTTAAAAAAAAAATTTTGAATTGTATTTTGAAATTAAAAAAAAATAGAGCAATTATTCGAAAGTTTAATTAAGAATCTATTAAAATTTAATGTGAAGAAGATTATAAAATTTTATTCTACTCTTTTTCTACCTATCAAATCTTGCCGATCAATTCTCGGATGAATAAAAAGATTTTCCGGCAAATTCTCATTTAAGTTTTGCCATTTCATGTTCTTCCAAACAACTGCTTGGCCTTCTTTACCCTGTGGTAATTTCCATGCAAGTTCTTTTATTAACGTTTCATAATTTTCGTCTAAAAGTACTACAATGGTACCCAATCGAAACTCAATTAATGCTTTATGTAAATCATTTTGCAATGGATGTGGGCCTCTACAATGATGACAACCAACCTATAGTAATAAATAACATTATTTCATAATATTTAATCGTAGATTAAAGATAAAAATGTTATATGATATTATTAAGAAATCATATAGAAAAAATAAAAAGACAAAAGAAATTAAGTTACTAAATTGAAATTTGAATTTGAAATTTTAGTCTGTCATATTTTAAATAATTATATTATCATTTAAATTTTTTTTAAATCCAATATCATGATATAATATAATAATTAAAAATAAAGATTGTTTTAAAATAAAAAATTCTTATAAAATTATTAAAATTATTAAAAAAATTTTTATAATATAAGAATTTATAATTTTTTTAATATAAGAATTTTCAAACTCTTTTTTTTAAACTTTCAAGTTTCTAAAATTATTATACATAAATAAATACAATTTTATTAATTAAATATGAAACATACAATCAAATTAAACATTAAAAAATATTTTATTAGAAAAAAAGAATAAAATTAAAATAAAAAAGAAAATTAAAATAAAGAATAAAATATAAAAAATATTTTTTATATTACTTACTTCTACTATCAATTGAGTGAGCGGTGCAAAATCTGAACGTAAGATAACATCAGCTCCCCAAAGAATAAGATGAACATCATCATATAAATTATCTAAATTGAGATCGGTGTGTGGCAAGTATTTTCCCACTATCCGGAGAGCATATATTATATATTCGTCTCGAACTGTGTAAAATATTGATCTTCTTGACATATTCGTCCATAACCTAGTCCAAAATCCTGTATTTTGAACTGATAAAGCAGCACCAGTCCATTCAAATACATATATCTCTTCTTCTCGATTGCGCGTCCATATCACCGGAATAGATTCAACAGTTTTTGCCCATGGTAATAAGCATCCATCATGTCTGAAAAATATAATGCATTTTTTAAAAATTTTTAATTAAATTCTTAATTTTAAAATAAATCTTAATCTTAAAATTAAAATGGAAAATAAATGACACAATAATATTTAAAAATTCTTGAATTAAAAATTTTATTGTTCAATTAATTTATCTGAAGCATCTCATTTTAAGATAACTATTGTTTTTATTAATATGAAATTATAAAAATTCAATATAATTATGAATTTTATGTAGTCATTTAATATTTAATTTTTCGGAAATTCTTCAAAAGATTATAAATAATAAAATATTAAACAACAAAAAATATATTTTATATATGCATATGTATAAAATATACCTGATTGCAGGAAATACAGTAAAAGTAGGTTGAATTTCCTGTATCTTTTTTGCTATTTGCTCATCTTTTAATAAAGCTTCACAGATTTGAATAGTTTTCTTCTCAGAATACATTGATTCTTTAATTTCGACTTTCACCATTAGTACCTCAACATCAATTAAAGTTTCGTAAACTTCATTTTCGTTGGATGCCGGTATAATTAATGTAGTATCAATCCCTTGATCTGACAAAGTATTGGCTAATAAAGATAAATCATAGATATCTTCAAAAGCGACAACCACTGCCGATTGCGGGGGTGTAGTTAATGTAGAACTTTGAACAATGTTCATGAGATAAAAATTCACGCATAATATAATAATTATTGACATTTTGATCAAACAATTATATAGATCGATAAATAAAATCCGCAAACGTGTTTTATATTTTAATATTTAAGAACAATACTTTTGATATGTTAAGAAAAAAAACTTGGAAGATAGCTGTATTCGTACATGAGATAGTTCATTTTAATTTCAAACAACTTCAGTTTGTCATCACTATATTAACTATGATTTCGAAACTGGGTCATTCATCTGCTAAAAAAATAAGAAAAAACTATTCTGAAATCCCATGTTGATAAAGCGGCTGATTACTTCCTATTTTAAAATACCAATACGAATATTCAGAAGAATTTTAATTAATCAATTATCGAAATAATATAAAAAAATCGTTAATTTTTTGAATTTTTAGAGCACTATTCGAAATTTTATCCTTTAGAAACATCTTTCAAACTGATACGGTTAACACAATTATATACATACAATTGATGTAACCAATTTATATTTCGCTTTTCGGAACTGTTTCGTTTATTTTTTTATAATATACAAATCTTTACAATCCTATTATTAAATATATATATTCACACAGTACAATTTTACGAATATATTTTTATAAATTATATATGTAAACAACACTATTTCTTATATAGGATATTCAAGCTTCACGCGTAAAATACTGAATGTTTCAGTCCAAGAAAAAATGAATTATAGCATACCACTAACTGTTTCTTTAATACACAGAACCACCATGAAATGTAAACTATTGCTTAAGCCGTAACATATAAACTTGTAAGCAAATGTTACTTTGATTAGAGATCTAGAACAAATTTTGGACATACGAAGCAGTTAAACAGTAAAAATATTTGCTTACATTCTGTATGTGAATAAATATTTTATTTAGGCACTTTATTTAGACATATCGTTTTATCATATAATATTGATATTACAATTTAAAAAATTTTTTAAAACACAAAGCATAATGTATATAGTGATAATAATATATTGATAAAAAAAAATATGCATATAATATCAAATAGAGGTTAGGTTTACTAAAATAAAGTATATTTTTAATGATGAAATATATTTTGTCGCGCACTTTTATTATTATAGTTATTATTTGTACATTATATGATATTGATGATTTTCTTTTACAACTGAAAGTAATTATTATAATCTTTTACTTGTTTCATGTACATAATATATTTTTTTATAATTTTAATAAGTAACTAATATAATTATTAAAAATTTAATTATTAAGAATAATTTAATGTTTAAATTTTTAACAATTTATTAATAATATTCGTTTAAACTTCAAAAAATTCTTTGTCATCACTATAATACTATTTGTTAACATGAAGTAAGTATGATAGAGAGCACTGTATTCAATTAATTTGAATTTGACTTGATCTAGCTCTTTATTGGTTGTTGGTTGGCAAAGCATGTGTCACGGTTAAGATTTTGGAGTTATTTAATTTCAATTTTAAAGATAGAATAGTTTGTAATCATAAAGTACAAAATTGTAATATACATAAATATCTAAAAATAGTTTATTATTTTTAGTTTAAATATCGAATGTTTATTATTCAAATACTTGTATTATAGTCAATGACATTTAAAACGAATAAGGTTAGTTGTAAAATTTATGAAGCTATGATAAATATAATAATTCCTATATAAATTTTTTACAAACTACTTATAGTAAATGCATTAAAATTTGTAAATTTATATCATTTTATAGGATTAATATATAAAGAAGAAATGAGTTTCACATATAATACTTCAAAATCTCAGGCCAGTACTACACCTACAAGCAGTGCTCCAACCACAAGTATATCTTGATATTTATTGTATATTGTAATTATTACAATATTTAAATATATTAAAAAATAAAACTATTTTAATATCATATATATCTTAGCTTTTACATTTGGAGCTGCCGGTGCTGGAGATGCAGCAAAACCAACAGGTTTTTCACTTACACCTATACCAGCACAAACTAAGCCTGCTACTGGATTTGGAAGTGGCTTAGGTACTGCTCCTGCTACTGGCTTTAGTTTTGGAACATCAAATGCTACTATTGCAAATACTACAGTTGCACAGACACCAGGTTTAACATTTAGTACTGGTACAACAACAAGTACTGGTATAACCCCTGCTGCAACTACTACTACGACACCTACAGGATTCTCTGTACCAACACCAGCTGGAAGTACCTTAAGTTTCAGTTTAGGAGGTACTACAACTGCCACAACAACAACAGCAATAACAACAGCTTTTGCATCCAAGCCACTTACTGGTGGATTTACTTTGGGAGGTGGTGAAGCTACTGCATCTACTGCTGCAACTGGTTTAACATTTGGTACTCCGAACATAATGACAACAGGAACTGGATTTAATCTTTCTGCAACACCTGTTGCAACTACTACAACAAGTACAACCACAACAGCAACAGGTATAAATTATTAAATTTTATAATATATATTGACACAATTTAATCTTATTTTATAAAAATTTTTTCTTTTTATTCACTATTTTTATAGGTTTTTCTTTAAGTGTCAGTGGAACAACTTCTGCAGCCACAGGATTTACTTTTGGCACAGGTACAACTGTAACCAGTACAGGATTTTCTTTAAATCAAACAACTGCTACCACAAGTCTTACAAGTACTCAAGCATCATTAGGAACGACAACTACAACGTATGTATTATTTTGTATAATTTATTACACATAGTATTTTTCTAGTTATTAAATGAAACATTTTAGTGTTAGTTCATCTGCAGTTCAACCTGCTTCCATAACTTCATTTGAAGAATCCATTAATAAATGGACTTTGGAATTAGAAGAGCAAGAAAAAGTATTCGTAAACCAAGCTGCTCAAGTTAATGATTGGGATAAATTACTTATAAATAATGGGGAAAAAATAGTAGCACTTAATGAAGAAGTAGAAAGAGTCAAAATTGAGCAACAGCAATTAGAACACGAATTGGATTATGTTGTAAGTAAACTTTTCATATTTATTATAAAATATATATAAAATATAAAATTATAATAGAATAAAAATATAAAGTGTTGCTCATAATTATATTACAGGTTGGACAACAAAAAGAATTACAAGATTGTTTAGTAGAATTAGAAAAAGGATTATCAACTCTTTCAGTCTCTGATCCAGAAAGAGAATATACGTATCGTTTAGCAGAAGATCTTGATACGCAATTAAAACGAATGTCAGAAGATTTAAAAGAAATAATTGAACATTTGAATCAAGCTAATCGCACTCAAGATTCTAGCGACCCAATCGTTCAAATTGGCAAAATATTGAACGCACATATGAATAGTTTGCAATGGTTAGATCAGCAAACAACTTTGCTTAGTCAAAAAATACAGCAAATTGAACAGATGCATAAAAATTTTAGACAAGAAAATGAACGAAGCTTCAGTTTAGCATACAATTAATATTAGTCATCGAATTTTTATAATTGTACAATGAAAAATCTTGATGCAAAAAGTACATTTTATACCAATTGTTTTTGTGTTTTAAAAGACAACAGCATTGTGTAAAAAATAAAAAATTTATATTATATTAAAATATTATTGTTTAAATTAAATTAATACAATTAATATAATTTAAATAGTTATCGAGGAAAGAAAATAATATATTTTAAGATAATCTGCTAAATGTAGAAACAAATTAACCATTCTGTTTTGAAGTATATTACATTTTACACCATCAGGATGTACTATATCCCAAGCCAAAAACATAAGAAATTTTTTAATATCTATAGTAGCTGATACCTCATCTTGATTTTGTTGACTGCAACTCCAAACTTGCAATTCTTGAAAATGTGTAGATACTGTGGCACTATCTGTTTCAATTTTTAATACAAATGTGCCAGTTTTATCGGCACTTAATGTTAAACATGGACTCATGTTTTTCATTCTATCCACAATATTTCTTACATGTTTAAGTTGAGGCATATCAACTGAAATCTATAAAAATCAAATTGAAAGAAATTATTAATTTAAAATAATTAAAAAAATAATTGATAACAATTAAAAAAGAATAAAATATATGAAAAAAATTATTTATACATCAAATTCAGGAATATTTGGTGTTTGATGCTCTGCCCATTCACGACGTGGTATCACTCTGACAGGTACATCATGTAAACATTGTCTTGATTCTATGCTCAAAGAAGGCAATTCAATTTCTAGTGTAAGGCATGGTTGTCGTTTATTAGTTAATTTGATTTTAACGCTTTTCGCGGTCATCCGTAGAGATCCTAAAGATCGAGCAAGCATAGAGGGATCGAATTCTAAATAAATTTCGTTCTGTTCTTCAGAGACACCATTCATTATATATTCAGTAAAAAAATGAGTTTGAATTAATTCGGCCCAAACCATCGATGCTCGATCATCGCTTACGCTGAAGCATAATTCGTTCGTTGTTAATCGTAAGGTACATTGTTTTGTTATTCGAGAAATAGTGTTAACAATATCTGAAATAAAATTTTATTTAATATTATTATACTTTTATATAATTAGTAAAATATTTAAATACTTTTAATAGCAGTAATTTTTATTATATTTTTATTCAGTATTTTAATATTTTATTTCATTAAATTTTTCGTAATATGTAAAAAATAATGGCATAAACACAAAAATAATCAGTGCTATTTATTGACATTACATACAATTATTATCTTTTTAATTATATTTTTATTAATTATAATTAATTTATTCTGTCATGATCATGACAGAAAAGGTTAGAAATGAATGAATTTTAAAATTTAAACTCACTAGTAAAGTCTCTCATTGCAATTGCATCTACCATTCTACATCTAAATTTCATTTTTGATATTGTAATAAAACTTTTTATAAGTAAAACAAGTAACAAAACTCTTTCTACATAAACAAATTTTACATAGCACAGATATTACATAGCACAATAACATAACAATCTTTGATACAATATTTTTTATAATATTTGAACGTATTATCAAATTTTTGCCTTTATAATTATTTATATGATAATTTATTTATTATATTACTTTTTGATTGCAAACATATATATCTTATGTTTGTATAATTTTTGTTTCATCAACAAAAATTTATATAAAAAAAAAATATATTTATTATAAGAACTTATGGTATTTATTTTTATATTTAAAAAATATAAAAAGAACATTTTTAAAAAATATTAAGAATTTAATTTCTTGAAAATTAAATAAATAAAATTAATTATAATTACGTTAAAATCATATTCTACTTAATCGATGTATTTACGTTTTATTTTATCAAATTTCATAACATAGTTTATGATTTTTGCAATAGATGTCACTAATATGCACATTTTCGATAATTTTCGCGCGAGAAATTACCCCGCATGGTGTCAATGTCGAATGATCCATCTAGCAACGTGAAATCTAACTCCGTCTGTCAAGTTTTGTGTGTAAACAAAAGTAATACATTTATCATGTATATTCGATAGGTCGTATCCTATCATGTCACATATAGGTCACTAAAAGTGTTCGTATTTTGATACAGTCTTCCATATATCTTCTCTCTTAGAGGTTGCGAATCTTTGTTATTCGGTTGAGGGTGAGTTCGGCCATGTTGTTAAGTTCGACGACCGACGGAAATCTATCATAGTAAATTGTGTTTTGTTAAAATTTATTTTTGGATCGAATAGCCATCAGCGAACTATGCAACATTAATCGATATGCGGTTTGCCAGAAAGAGGTGAGTCTGTTTATCTCTTTCTCATAAAATATGAATATACTTTTCTCTTCATTTTATTTTTGTGTCATTTCTTCATTTTATTTAATTTTTATCACTATTGTTTCACAATAAATATAGATTATATAAATTTATAGATTATATCGTATTTATTACAATTGATTTTGTCATTAATAATTGTTATTAAAAATATTTCATTCGAAATATTGTTAGTTTTTGTTTCAAAATATTATTAAAATTATAAATATCAGAATTTGTAAAGATTTATTAGCTATAAATTTTTGCAAAATACTTATAATACATATCTATATAATTTTTATATAATATATAATATTTTACTTCTAAACATCCTTGAATTAAATTTTCATAATAATGTAAGATACTTTATGTTTCATAACAAATTAGATATGAAACAAATATAAAATTCAGTTAATTTATCATTGAGTTCTGGAAAGATTTTGAATATTCCTCGAGTAAATATTTTATAATATTCGATTCGTGTACTTCGTTTCATAGGAAGACTTCATTATTTTCAGGAAACGTGCTCGTAGTAACTAAGTATTTAAATGATCCGCGTGTATATTTTTTCCATCAAACATCTAGTCGAGGCAGGTGGTGAAACACGTGGCATGCGTAGAGAATATGCACCGGTCTCATATTTTTCTCTCCTTATCTTTTTTCATTTTTTAATCACATTTACACCTCTTTTTTTCCATTTTCCTCTATTCATCTCCATCCATTTCCGTTCTTCACACTAACATGTTATATATATATTCCGTTTTTATTTTGCGCGATACGACGATAAGTAAAGCAATATACTCAAGGTTTTCACCCTAGGTTATAAGATACGTCAAAATATAAAGAGTAGGCACATTCTTTCGCGACTTTGCGATAAATACTTATCATAATAAACAAAAAGTACAATAATTATCAAAATTTAAATACCTTAGAAAAAATATATTAAATATATATATAAAAATATATTTGTTTTTTGTTTTTTTGAAACTTGTTAATCGATTATAAAAAAATTATTGAATTTGCGAACAATAATTTTGAGGTTAGCAGCTATCTTGTGTTGTTGAAGTTTTTGCATCAATATCATCTTTCTCATTCATGGATCCGGTAACCTAAAAAGGTATAAGGTAACGGCAAAACTCTTTTTGAAAGGGTCAGCTTTCTCTTTTCGAAAGAAAATATTCGGGAGAAACAATCGACCGGATACTTACATCGGCGCCACGTGTTGTACGAGAAAAGCGTAACAAAATATCTATTGCGTAAAATACCTATTTAAGTATATTTTGAAATTCGTAGAAATATATATAGCAGGCATTTTGATTTTTTTTATTTGGGAAAATACATTATATATCTTTCAAACTATATTTATAAAAATTAATAATAGTTATAATAATTAATATAAAATATTAATAATTATTATAAAAGTATATATATATATAATATTATTAATATTTTAATTTGATTTTATGTTTAATATTAATCATAGATATCATTAGTCTTATGTATAAATAAAAATTTTAATGTAAAAATAATAAATTACTAGATAAAGTTCTTCAGATTAGAATTCATGTTATATATCTATCTCGTCTACTTATCAAGAAAGTACTTAGAGAATAAAACCGTATCATCTATTTAATGTTTAACAGGCGCCTCATATCTGACCTGGAAAGTCCTGATTAACTACACGTTTCGCGCAAACTGGATCCTCCCTTCTGACATATCATCAGCTCTGGTCCCATTTCCCTATATTTGCCTTGCAGTAATGGCAAAGTAAGAAGAGCCGACTTTAAACCTACCGATAAATTTTTCCTTTAACAAGTTGTTCCAGGAAAAATCGACTTCAAATGGAAACTTGTTCAAATGATGATCATATTATTATTAATCTTTTAGTGTTAAAATCATTATAAAAACAGTATTCAGTAGATACTGACAAAATATAATAACAAAATGATTTCCGGTTTATTGACATTTTCCTTGTATGATCTGGATTTTATTTTAGAAATTAAAAATCTAAATGGTTCAAATTCATTTCTGTTTATTTTAGATTTTTGTTAAAAACTTTTTGAGAATGATTTTAACTAGCCACCTTTTTTTGTACACATTGTTTCGTTGATTCGCAGTAGTAGTAGTTTTATTAATGACATATCTTTAATTTATTCGGAATGTACAATTTCAAAGTCTAAACTTTGATTGATAGTTTTATATTAGTCTCTTTCTAAACTAATACTATCACATGTATACTTATTCAATACTGTTTATAGATTCGATATTGGTTGGCAAAAATGTGGCATAATTTGCAAAACAGGCATCTATCGCTGTGATTATTTGCCTCGCTTCGAGTTCATATCCCTTCATCCCGACATTCAACTTCTAGTTATCAATATTAACTCGTCTGTTGGGAGATAGAATGACGTCAACATACGAACCCGGTGTCCCGCATGGCAACTACCAACTAACCAAAGTGTGCTCAGGCAGGACGCAAGGACAGACGCCGCGCATAGCGCACGCAGTGTGTTCAGGAACACATCACACTATACATGGCAACATACATGTACACATACGCACATATTTGCCCAACCTTTCGTGTATAGCCCTCGCGCTTGCTCCGAACTCTGGCACTTCTTCCACACCCCCCTCCTATTCCATGCCTTCGACGGCCCCTTTCCTCTCTTGTTCTTTTCTTTACACCTTTTGTGAACTTCCTCCTTTTTTCGAACGCGTTTTCTTTCAATTTTATTTCCGTTTGTTCATTCTATTTTTTTCTTTTTTCTTTCTTTATATGATTCGCATTTTTTTGGCGAAATTTTTTTCTAATGTTACATTATTTTAATTTTAAATTTTTTACTTTAATAAGATCTATCTTTTCCAAAAAGTTTATGATTTTATTTATGATATATATAGTTTATTTCCAGAATAGTAATTGAAATAAGATATACTTATTTGTCTCAATAATATTTTATCATTTATTAATTTTTTTGTATATCTTAATGTAAAATATGCTAATTTTAAAATTCTATCTTTCTGATATTTCTATTATTTTATTTTTCCAAAAAGATTTTGATTTAATTACAACAGTTGATTTGCTTTTTAATGTCAGTTAAAGAATCAATTTTTGTATAATTATCAATTTATCTAATTATTTTATTTTACTATATTCTATTTAATTTATTTAAAAAAGTATAATTTAATAAACTTGTTACTTATTAATTTTTTAATATTATTAGATACTAAATTTTGCAAAAAAATATAGGGATATTAATAAAGCTAGAAAAAACTAGAGTATCAAATAAAATAAAAAATAATCCATATTGTACATTTCTTAAATCTATTAAATTGCAAATAATGAAAAAAATTTTTAAGATAATTTAATATTTATAAATATATTTTTAATATCTTTCTGAAATAATATCTCCTTATATTTTTACTATTAAAAATTAACTTTTTTGCTATATATTTTTCTAAAATTTTTTTTTATATTTTTTTTTAATTTTATTTTAATATTTTACATATATCTTTTTTCATATCAAAAGTATCAATTTTCCTTGTCAAATTTCTCTCTTATTCTCTTAATATTTTATAATTTTTATATTGTATACGTTTGCACACGCACGCACATAAACTTATGTCCTCGATGTCACATAAGGCCTGTACTCAAGGGTACACTTCTAAATGGCACATCATAGCCGGGTGGAAAAAGACAAATAAAGCTCATCTTGTCTCATTTCATTTCTATGAACGCGACAGCTGTCTTCTATTTGTTTTCTTTCGTAATGTCGGGCGCGAATCATTGTGACAAACAGTTTCGTTGCGAATCGCCACTATTCTAAAACATATGTAAGCCTACAACATGCTTCTTAATCTCTTTAGTGAACTGATAAAAATGTCTGCCAGCGCCCGATTTGTAGATTTCATGGTTAGGTTATGTTACAAAGCTGTATTTGACTGGCTTATAACTAAACTTACTTTATTCACTGGATGAATTTGACACTTCGATTTTTTGTATAGTTGCTTTAAAAAATTACTAAAAATATTCAAAGTATGATTATAAAAAAAATGTTTAGTTAATTATTTAAATGCATTTTAAAAATTTGCTTATTTTTTTGTTTTCTTCTTTATCTCTATCTATTATATCTACCGCAATCTAATATTTATTGCAATATAATGAATTAAT